TCTCTTTGTGCGAGAGAAGGAATTTGAGGAGAGTGTGTTAATTCTTTTTTTTAGGGCTAGTATTAGGTATAACTTGGGGTTTTTTTTATGGAGGTATAATTTGGATTTTGATTATTTAATTCTTTAAAAATTAAGATTTATAGCTTAAATTAATTTTTCATTCTTTAAATTAGTGCCACATCAACCTAAATGGACGGAATTTTGACACAAGTGGCATTTTAACTAACGTTTTAAAGTTCAAGGGGCATGTAGACCACTTTTTAAAGTTCGGGGGGGCAAAGTTAAAACGCGATCAAAGTTCGAGGGGTAAAAATAAAATTTATCCAAAAAAAATTATGCAAGACCAATTTGTCTAACCAACGTTTTTCAGTACAAATAAATTGTAAACTAAGATATTTTTATGCATGCAACAACAGACAGAAATATAACTCTTATAGGAAGGTCAGAGTAATAATAATTACTGATATGAAACATTATGAACCTGAGATGAACAACTTTGACAAGTTAAGATGCTACCAAGAACCCCATCAAATGGTCCAACAAAAGCTCGCTGCCACATTTCTTGCTTGCTCAAGACCTCCCCCCTCTTTGGTGTAATAATCCTGCAACTCGAAGAACATAATTCCAACAAAGAAGGGTTTCTTGGATCATAACACCCCGTAAATTCTTCTCTTAAAGAGGACAGGATATGAAGAAAAGCCTCGGCTGCATCCTACAGACAAAATTATATATCAAACGATATCAAAATAGCCATAGAACTTGTTGTAAAATTTAAAATTAAAAGTTGGACCTGCTGGGCAGTGAGATTGAAACTGGGAATGTAATGAGCGATTGCAAGCATTACTGTCCGAGGACTCAACGCTACTCTTCCTTCACCAACTACACATAATTCTATAGAGACAGAACATTACTTAACTAAGTGACAATGAGTTAAATGTAGAGAAAATCAAGAAATAATATCATTTATATTTGCATTGTATCAAATGAGACCAAAACTTTCATGAATTATTAGTCTGACTATTAAGACTGCATGGTATAACAGAAAATCCAAAAGAACACTTTCTTTATTTTATGTTTCTAGAAAGTGAACAAAGGGTGAAGATTCTGCTGCGCAACATCTTGAGAAGACCTCCACTCTTAAAGAAAAAAAAAAACGTTAGAGATAGTTTGTGAGCTACCTTCGAATAACGAAGCTAAAGCAACTGCAAGTGGCATACTATCAACTAAATCCTCATCAGCCGACCTTTCACATTCCTCTATAGCCTTTTGCAAAAAAATTTGGAAGCACGAACAACTTGCTAAAGCCTGATAAATTTTTCAGATTCAATTAATCAGAAAAAACTACATAACTGAATTCAGTTGCCCAAATTGCAAAAATAAGTAAACAATAATCGCAAAAGAAAAAAAAA